ACATCAGGCCTGAGCTCTGAGCTGTAGCCCGAGAGCCCTAGCCCAAAACCCTAGCTCAAAGTCCTAGTGCAGTGCCTTAGCCTAGCGCGCCAGTTTAAAGCCTTAGCCCTGAGCCCTACCTCAGAGCCTTAGCCCAGAGCCCTAGCCCAGAACCCTAGTCTAGAGCTCTAGCCCAGAGCTCAAGCTTAGAGCCGGAGAGCCCTAGCTCTAAGCCAAACTCCAAATTATGCTTCAGAGTTCTAGCCTTATCCTTAATACCAGTCCAAGCAGTCGCCTATACTTTAGCTCTAACTTTTCTGATTGCCCTAGTGCTAGTACTAGCCAGAACTCTAGTCCTAGCTTCAGTCCTATCCTTAGCTCTAAGCCTTAGTACTAATCTAAGGTTTAGTTTTAGTTTTTGCCTTTATACTTGCTTTAGTTCAAGCACTAGCCTTAACCCTAGGAATACCTTCAATTCTAGCCTTAAACTAACTTTCTTTTGCTTTAACCATGCCGTACTTAAAAGCTGTTCTACTATAATATGTCACTTCTTTTGTCCTATCCCACCACATGATTAATCAAGCCTACCAATACTCAAAATTTGGCTCGTTACCAAGAATAATATGACTTTGCATATTATTTTTCACTTACTATACCAACCCAAGTATCCCTTGTTTTTGCAATTTTTTTCAAAAAATAAAAATATACTTCCAAAAAGAGTAAGATCATAAGTTAATATACGTTTGTGATAAACACAAATAATCTTACTCCATCACATCCACACAAACATGTTGATGGTCATTCGGTGGATTAGCCAAAAAGTGCTCGGCATTACTTTTTAGGCCTAAAATTGGCCGTTAATCCACTTTTTTTCAAATTTCTGGACGTCATTAACGTTAATCTTGTGTAATAAAGAATGTAAATATACAGAATATGTAAATGGCACATGTATCTTTTTAGTATCACAACATATGCTATACTACAATATGTTACTTTACTTTACTATAATGTGCTCTACCCTACCCTACCCTACCCTACCCTACCCTACCCTACCCTACCCTACCCAACCTTGCCCAACCTTACCCTACCATACCCTACCCTACCCTACCCTACCCTACCCTACCCTACCCTACCCTATTTTACCCTATCCTACTCTACCCTACCCTGCCCTACGTTGTCCTACCTTTTTCAAACCTCACTTTGTCCTGCCTTGTCCTTACCGTATCTTACTCTACCATATACTTCTACCTATGGCTTGCTCCAAAGAGACATTTTGCTGTGTACAAGATAAGATCAAGACGCAATGAAGCACAGAGAAACATTACAGTACCCTTCGGTAATTTGTTGAGTCGTTTTACATCGAGGCAAATATTACAAAAGTTGATAACATTACATAAGAAAAAGTTGCGTAACAAGGATTTTTGCAATTTCTCTGAGGCTACCGTATGATACAGTAATGTTACGCATTGGTAACAAATATTTGTGAATCTCTAAATTAGTTAGAAAAAAAATTCTATCACTATTTCTTAACTCTCGCCCTACCCTTACTTATTATACCACCGCTCTACCCTCGTTCGATCTTTAACTTACCCTGCCCTACCGTACCCTATCCTACTCAACCTCGATACCATGAAAATAATTAAGAAGTTATAAAAAGAAAATATCTCATCTCTTCTTTTCCTTTTTTTTGGATTCTACTATCCTAAACATTCATTATCTTTATCAAATTACCGAAAACCCACGCAAAACGTATTTCTATTTAAAAAAAGCTAATGTGATATTATAACCATGCCTTTTTCTACTCCTGCTTTATCCTAGATGTGCCCTATCTTAACCATTTTTTACCTTACCTATGCCTTACCCTATCCTTGCCCTTTCCTAATCATGCTTTATCTTAACAAAATCCCTGACTTACCCTTAGCCCTACCGTATCCGTGCCGTATACTACCCATACTCTATCGTACTCATGTCCTATTATACCCATTTCCTACCCTTGGCCTGTCGTACACATGCCCTATATTGCCCACGCCTTTTTTTATTAATACCTTATTCTACCCAGCATTATAATGTATATGCCTTACCTTACCCATATCTTCTATTATACATGCCTTACCCTACACACGCCCTACTTTATTCATTCCATATTCTACTCATGCACTACCCTAACCATGCTCGATCCTAACTTATCATATCCTACTTATACCTCATTCTACCCATGCTTTATCCAACCCCTTCCTTACACTACCCATCGATACCCTACAAATGTAAACGTAAGCTCGAATCTTTTATAAACCCAAAATCCTAAAATTTAAAAATAATTTTGAAAAGTTTCTAAATCGTGTGAAATTATTTAAATTTTTAGTAATTTCGAAGGATTAGCCACTTATAAAACACTCTTTAAAGTTAATTTGTTATGAAAAGGTCTAAAAAATTATGGCATCATGAAAGCCAGAAATAGACATGAACTTTTGGTAATAAGCTTTCTTTTTTTGAAATAGCTTTTGTTTACATTAGCCTATACAACAGAGCGTGTTTTAAATAGTTTAGTCTACCAGAGTTAACTTAAAACTTTAGCCTTAGCCTTAGCCTTAGGCTTAGCCTTAGCCTTAGCCTTAGCCTTAGCCTTAGCCTTAGCCTTAGCCTTAGCCTTAGCCTTAGCCTTAGCCTTAGCTTTAGCCTTAGGCTTAGCTTTAGCATTACCTCTACCTTATCCTCCTATCCTTACTCCTACCGTTACCCCAATGCTTACCCCTACATTACTCTACCATATCCTACCCTATCTTTACGATACGATTAAAAAGCTATAAAATGCTTCAAAAAACGTACAGTTTTTACTACAAATTGCCTAAAAATACATTTTTAAGTTTATGATACCTCCCTCGTGATGCCTAAAATAACAATACTAGTAGTGTAATAAATACAAATTTGCTAAATTAATTAAATTTTCTTTTTTGTACAAGACAAAAATAACTTTTTCACCGTTTTCTTTAGTCTTACTGACCTTACTAATACCTATCACCGCCTTTCAACCCTATCACATGCTAAATTTGTTATTGAAATACTACCCTCCTACAGCTTTACTCAGCTGATGAGACTATCCATGCCAATCTCTTTTGGTACTCTTGTTTACCCTACTTAAACTTTACCCTCTTTCCGACCTTTATTTTACTTCTTTTTTTCATACCCACCCTTCCAAATATAAAATATAACACCTGCCACATGTTTAATTCCTCCCACCCCTCCTAATTGCAAAATTTTATTAACAATCTACCCTCTTCCAGTTCTCTCGTTCCTTCATTTTTACCCATGCTTACCTGTTCTAATTCGTTTTTTAATCACCCTTCCCCCCCCTCTTCTCAAGCCTCACCCATACCTTTCCGTCATCTTAAACCCCTCCCCTCTCACCGCTTATTCTGTCCTCCAACTTTTACCCCTGCCAAAAATTTTAACCCCCCCCCCTCCCCCAACACCTAACGCAATCTTTTATTGAAAGCACACCTCTCCTCCAGTTTTACCCTACCCAAATTTTGCCTCCCCCCCCCTTACCTTTCTCCCATGCCAAAACCCCCCTCCTTCTCCCCTAGCTCCTATAGCTGTCGTATTTGTCTCCAAATTTAATCAATCCAAATGAATAAAATGCCCTGAGGGCAGGAAAGCCTTATTTTATTTTAACCACAAACACTTCGAATTAGATGAACATCAACAGATTATACTATTTGATGACATCAAATTGAATTATTCATGTTGCATCTGTTTGGCATGTGTAATGTCATGAATAATATTTGGGGGAGGGGGAAAGTTTTTAGTTTTTTTTTGAATTTTGTTTTAAAATTTTTAAAATAAAATATAGATTACAACAGTCAAAAAAAAAGTTCTAAAAGGTAATGTTATAAATCCGATTTTTTTCGATTTTTTTCCAAATCTCCACAGGGGGGACCACGTTTAATTTTCCGAAATTTTTTTTTCGGGGTACCACCTCCGTCCCTCCCCCTCGCGCCCGGCTCTGCTTATGACTGTATGATTTTTGACTTATAACCGTAACTGTTACTAAAATGCCAAAATAAAGCATTACCCTACCCTACCCTACCCTACCTTCCCTTACACCGCCCTACCCTAAAATTTACCACGCCTTTAAAATAGACATTACAATCAATGCATAGCCAACTCTCAAAAATTTAGCCTACCCCCAAAAACTTACCTTACCCTAGGAATTTCAGTTTTTTTTAAAATTTTTTAAATTAAAATTTGTTTTCTAAAGCTTTCCCTGCCTTTAAAGATATACCCTACCATCAAAATTCAGCAGGTTTCCCAAAATCTACCATACTTTCAAAACTTACTCTGTATAGAAAACATTGATAGTATGACACTCTTTGTTAAACCCCTAATAAATTACAACTTTAGTAGAACAGCTTTTTTCTAATGACAGGTTTCAGACTGCTATTTGTAACAGGACTTCTAACAAAAAGTACCTAGATAGGTGTGCTTTTCCTTTCTTTTGATGACAATCAACTTATAATAACACCTTGACTCAGCCCCTTAAGTGCCCTACTAAAGAAGTTTGACCCACTAAATTAACTGCATACGTACTGCATTGACAACGCTTTTACAGCATAATAAAGAGTAAAGACAGTGGCAAATATTGAAATTAAACAGAGCAATTTAATTTGCCTTCCGGGCCGAAATAAAACAAAACTGCTTCCAAGAATAACACTCAGCACAAATTCGTGCGTTCAAAACAATTTTACGGCTTTAAATTGTCCTCAACTTTTGAATTTTATAAAAACAAAGTCTATAAGTTTGGCAGTTTGAAATTTTTTAAAATTTTTAAGATTTAATAAAGTTTTAAAAAGTTTTGTCGTTTTTCACCGTGAAAACACATTGAAATTGGCGACAATACTTTTTTTTGATTTTAAATACAAAAAAAAACTTCTTTTTTGAATTTTTAAGAAGGTTTATAAAGCTTTAAAAAATCTTGTCGTTTTTCACAGTGAAAACACATGTAAATTGACGACAAGACTTTTTTAAAACTAAAAAAAACTTTTTTTTATATTTCAAAAGAAAAAATAACTTTTTTTAAAAAAAATGTAAACTTACACATAACTGTAGATCATTGTAGAAAGCTTGGTGTAAAGAATGAGGTGAATCACAGTTGAAACTTCGAGTCAATGGTGAATTGACACTCTGAAAAATAAGTTTTTAAACAACATTTTTTTTCAAGCCTACTTTATCCTACCCTATCCGACACCGTACTCATCTCCTTACTCTTGCCTTTGCCTTGGCCTTTGCCTTGCTTTGCCTTACTCTCGTCTTACCCTTGTTTTATTCTTGCCTTACCATTTCCTTATTCTTGCTTTACCCTTGCCGTACCCTTCCCTTACTCTGGCCTTAAACTTGCCTTACTTTTTGCCTTACTATTTCCTTACATTTTTATTATCATTGTCTTACCCATGTCTTATCCTCGTCTTACCTTTGCATTACCCTTGCCTTACTCTTGCCTTACTCTTGCATTAATTTTGCCTTACCCTTGCCTTACTCACGCCTTTTATTCTACCCTGGCTTTGCCTTTGTCTTGCCTTAGCTTTGCCTTACTCTTTTTTACTTTTTCTTACCTATATCTCACCCTTGTCTCATCTTTACCCTACCCTGGTTTCATTTTTCTTTTACCCTTGCTTTTTTTTTCACCTTACCCGACCTTTTATTACACTTCCAAATATTTGCCTTATATCCTCATCCCTAACCCGCTTTATCTTATGGCATAGCCTTACCTAACAATTCAAAATTATTTTTAATACCTAAACTTCAAAAAGCTAAAAACTGTCACTTACAAACCGTCCAGAGCACCTCGACGAAGACGTTCTCAACTTGAACATGGGTGAATCCAACGAACTATCAGCCGAACTTTTACATGCCCTTAGGCGGCTTAGAAAGGGCTTTAGATCATCCACATCTTCTTCATCCTTCTCGTCTAACGCGTTGAAGTTGGATGTGGCACGAAGATCCAAGTCTTGAGGTTTGTTTTTCTTTTGAGACAAAGAATTGGCGGGCGTGGTAGAAGTTGGGGGTGGATATCGAGAGGATTGCATGTTTATTGCTTTGGGTATGACTTGGTACTGAGGTGGTACTGATGCGTTGTGTACTTAGAAGTACAAATGATGTTATAGTAGATATGATGAGGCTTTGGTGCTATTTGTGAAATTACAGTACTAAAGTCAATAGTACAGTACCAAACTTGAAGATAATGAAAGTGACACCAGTATTAAATAGAAAGCCTGAGTATTAAATTTACAGTACTAGTACTATTTTGAGTGCCAAAAATTTTAAAATTTCAAAATATCAGTTATATTGTAGTAGGAAATAGTAATATAAATCGATCATTTCAATAAGATGAATATTAAAAAAACCGTATTTGTATAGTAATATTAGTATCTGTAGAATACTGTAGAGTAATATACAACCAAGAATGGAGTTATCCGTTTATGCATCTGACATTGTAATGAGTACAAAGTAGGTTAATGTAACCACGAAAATTGAGCAAGGCCTAAAAAAATAATATTAAAAATAAAAAAAAATTAATTTAAATCACGTTTTAACGCGAAAAATAACTGAACGTGCCCTACCCTACCCTCGTTTTACTTTCGCTCTACCCTCATCGTCTTACACTCGCCCTACCCTTTGCCTTAACTTCATCCTACCCTTGTCCTTATTTTGTTCTAAAATTACCCTACCCTACCCTACCCTACCCTACCCTACCCTACCCTACCCTACCCTACCCTACCCTACCCTACCCTACCCTACCCTACCCTACCCTACCCTACTCTACCCTACCCTACCCTCGCTCTACCCTTGCCCTATGCCATCTTTTCCTTGCTCTACCCTTGTCCAATCCTAGCCCTACCGTTGCCCTACCCTTGCTTTGCGTTTATCCTACCATTGCTTTACCTTAACCCTATCACTGTCCTACCCTCGCTTTACTCTTCCCATAAACTCGTCGTACCATTGTCCTACCGTCATCCTACCCTCTCCGTCGTCTTGCCCTGCCACCCTTGTCTTATCCTGGCTTTACCCCTCGCCCTATCCTTGCCTTAACCTCGTTTTACCCTTGCTTTACTCTCACCCTACCCTTGTCTTACTTCAGCCCTACTCTCTCCCTACTCTTGTCCTAGTTTACCCTTAATAAACCATAACCTACAACGTATGTAACTCGTTTTTCAAGCTCCCTTATTTTTACCGCCACTGTCCTTTTTAACAAGTCCTCTGTAGCCAAAGCTAGCCTAAACGTCGGATTTGTTTTTTTACAAAATGTAAAAATAGAAAAAGCTGATAATACGAAAAACTCCACTTAACGTACCAAAAAAGCCAAAAAAACACTCTTGAGAAAACGTTATAAAGAAGGACGCCAAGCACGTTTCCGCCACAAACGTATAAAATTTCAGATTCCCCGTTCGTATGACTTTGTTTTCTACATGATGCAGAAATAGATGTGTATCAACAACTTTTATAATATATTATACTACAGAGCAAAAGCAAGATATAGAGATTTATATTTAGAAACCATAGCCCACAGCCCCAGCCCAGAGCCCTAGCCCAGAGCTTTAGCCCAGAGCCCTAGCCCAGAGCCCTAGCCCAGAGCCCTAGCCCCGAGCCCTAGCCCTAGCCCTAGCCCAGAGCCCTAGCCAAGAGCCCTAACTCTAGAGCCTTAGCCCAGAGCCCTAGCCCAGAGCCTTAGCCCAGAGCAATACCCTACAGCCTTAGCCTAGAGCCCTAGCCCAGAGAGCCTTAGCGCAGAGCCCTGGCCTGATGTCCTAGCCCATTTACGCGAAAAATCGAAAGTTCCATAAAGTTAAAACCGAAAAACAAACGTTGAACAGAATGATTTAATAATTCCTTCTGCAGAGCTTGGTTAAATAACTATGCAGATCCCGTTGGTTCTTTGCGATTATGAGTAATAAGACCAACGTGAGAACGGAACAATCGAAACATCAGTTTTTATGTGAAGGTATTCTGTGGTCTCAAATTGGTCAGTTCAAAAATTTTTAAACTAAAAATTAGGCTAATGAAAACCTAAAGTTAAGCCTAAAAGAAAAAAAACTTACCTAAATCTTAGCCTAAGCCTAAAACTAAAAAATGCTTTTTATGTCTAAATTTAAGCCTAAGCTTCCAAAAAATGTTATTTTTAAACCTAATTTTAAGCCTAAAATCACAAACAAAAACTTTTTTTTAAACCTACAAATACAATAAAAAACTAATTTATAAGCTCAATCATAAGCCTATTACTAAAATATGGTTTTTAAACTCAAAGTTAACCCTAAAATTAAAAAAAAACTGCCTTTTAGGCCTAAAGTTAAGCCTAAGCATCCAAAAACAATTTATTTTGTTTAACTTTAAACCAACAAAAATTTAAAAAAAATAAATTTAAGCTTACACCTAAGTCTAAGAGCACTTAAATTAATTCTAAACTTAAATCAAAATTAGCCCTAACCCTAACCTTAGCTCTAGCTCACATCCCTAACCTTAAGCCTAGCCTCAGCCCTGGTCTTAACCCTAGCCTCAGCCCTAGCCTCAGCCCTAGCCTCAGCCTTAGCCTCAGCCCTAGCCTCAGCCCTAGCCTCAGACCTAGCCTCAAGCCTTAGCCTCAGCCCTTGCCTCTGTCCTAGCAACAAAAATTTTATCGAAAAAAAATAAAAAAGATAGCATAAAGTAATATTTACCAAGCTTTATTGACAGTATAAACAAATATAACATACTTCCTCATACATGCCATAAATAAGAGTAGTCAATTTACAAATATTATTCCAAATAAGCCCAAAAATGGCCAATTTTTATGCTTCACTGTACTTCCGGCCGACGTTCTGCAACGTTCTTCAGACTTTGCATTCTTTTATCGACATACATGTTAAAAATGACAAAAACTTTCTTACAGAAATAACAAAAACTTTCTTTAGAGAATGAAAAATTTGGTAAAACAGCCGATTTTTTTCATGTTTACAATGTAAAATGTCATTAAAATTTGCCTCCAAAACCAAACGGAAGTCTGATTTTAGTGCTTTGGCTTTCACTTCGTCATCAATCTGTTTATCCTCAAAGCGCTTCCTCAACTCTGCATTTTAAAATGACACAAACAAAAGTTCAAAGAACTGAACCCTACCCTACCCTACCCTATCCTACCCTACCCTACCCTACCCTACCCTACCCTACTCTACCCTACCCTATCGTACTTTAACTGACCTTCCCCTACTTTGCTCTGCCCAACTCTGATTTATCTTGCTTTGTCCTGCCCTATCCTCGTCCTACATTTTTCGCTACCCTCGTCTTACTCTACCCTTGCCTTGGTCTTGCCTTGTCCTAGCCATGCCCAATTCTTGCCCTGGTCTCGCCCTTACCCTCGCTCTATTCTACCCTTGGCTTACCCTTTCCTTACTCTACCCTTGCCTCTAACCTCGTCCTACCCTTGTCCTACATTCGTCTTACCCTTGCTCCGCCTTACCTTGCGCTCCGCTGCCCTGCCGTACCCTAATCTTGCCCTCTTTCTACCCTGCTCTACCGTACCATATCTTATTTTACCCATAAAAATCAGTCTTACCCTTCCCTTCTTTACCACAACCAAACCTTATTCCCTATTCATTCTGGGCCCTTTTTCAGTACGTTCAGTATTAGAAAAACAAATCTTCAGACGTTTTATATTGAGGAAAAACACAAATCAAATTATCGTTTTTAAGGAAGATAAATCGGTTATATTAATTAAAATTTTGAAAAAAAAAATTATTTTGCCATACCCTTGCTTTCTCCATTATCATTTTTTCTTTAAATCGCGTTTTTACCCCGCCCATTTTTCACACCCTTCCTCCACTCCCCAAAAAATTTTTCGCACTACCATTTGTTTATAAAATACTTCCTTTATAAAAAAAAATTTTTTAAACCATCTTCCCACCCAGATAAAAAAATTTCTTACCCCGCCCAAAATTTTTTTTTTTATTTTAAAATTAACAATAAAAAATAAAAAGTTTTTATTTCTATTCTTTGCCTCTATCCCCCCCCCCTTCCACCAAATAAAATTTTTTACTCTGCCCAAAAAAATTACATTTTTTTACCCCGCCCAACATTACAAAAGCAACATATTTTATTCCTTTCTCTCCGAAAACCACTGTTATAATAATAACTGCCCATAAAATAAGCTAATAACAATAAGAACATGCAATAAATGACAATTTATGACATTCCAACGAAGCAATAATAATGTCGCAAGAACGAACAAGAATAGACAACATGGTTTATATTGGTATTGTTTTCGAAGTCTGTAAAACAAAAAATTAAAAATTTGATAAAATGGTAAGAACTTTCTTTACAAATCATAAAATGGCAAAAACTTTCTTTACAAATCAAAAAATGGCAAAAACTTTCTTTACAAATCAAAAAATAGCAAGAACTTTCTTTACAAATTATAAAATGGCAAGAACTGTCTTTACAAAGCAACAAATGGCAAGTACTTTATTTACAAATCAAAAAATGGCAAGAACTTTCTTTACAAAACCAAAACTAACAAGACATTTGTTAAATGACTCTACCCTACCTTATCCATAGCCTGTCTTAGCCAAAAACCTTACACTATCAAAAACTTAACCCCCTTCCTCGTCTCCTACTTTTTCCTTACCCCTTCTCCCACCCCCTTCCTTCCCTCCCACCTTTCTTCCTACCCTCCCCTAAATCCCCTCTTAGAACGTACAAGTTCCTTGGCCGATAATCATATAATAGCTATATCAACTTTTTCCGAGAGAAGACTTTTGAAACGCCAAAAACAGACTTTTCGGAGCGAAAAAATTGGAACGGAACGGCCGCGAAATTTGACGAAATGTTATAAACCATGAGAAAAAAATGCGACATAACAAATGGGCAATTCGAGTAACGTCTCGAAAAAGTTTGTTGATGCACAGTACTTATATTACTATATTCTTAAATATTATTTTAAACCAGAGCTAGCACTAAGACTAGAGTTTTGGCTAAGGCTAAGACTTGGATTATAGCTAAGGCTAACAAGGGAAGGTACTTAAATCGCAGATGGACTTTGAGATGACCCCTATATATTCTGAAAGCTTAATTCACAGGTAGTACGGATCTGAAAACCGTTTTTCTGTGCGGCTTTTAGTTTTTGAAAAAATCGCCTTTAAAATATGGCAAGAATTTTGACGAAACGAGCGCGCCGGAAAGAAGTGCGCAATTAATTTAAGGAAAAAGAAGTAGCGGCGTGGCCGAGTGGTGAGTCAGTTTTCTTTCGGATGTCGTTGGGGGAGTTCGATCTCGGCCTTGTGCAACAGTTTTACAGCAGCTTGTAAGGCTAGGGCCAAGGCAAATACTAACGCTAGGGCGAAAACTACGGCTTGAGCCGAGGATAGAGCCAAAGCTAAGGCTAAGACCAGAACCAGGACTAAAGCTAGGGCCAAGGCCAGGACTAAAGCTAGAGCCAAGGCTAGGGCTAAAGCTAGAACCCAGGCAAAAGATAAAGCTAGGGCTCCGGGCTTAGCCTAGGGGCAAGATATGTTAAAAACAAAGCAATGAAATCTTTAAAAAACTTTGTGTTTACTATGACAAGAAACCAAAAACCAATAGATTTATTGTAACTTTATGAAATTTCGTGCCAAAAGTGCCATTCCTCAATGTTTCTATGCAAAAAACAAATAAACAAAGAAGGTTCTTTTCCGGAGAATAAAGTTACTGCAAACGTATAAATACAATTATAGTAGAGTAGAATGTAGTGTTTATGTTGTAAACAGAATAAAAACATACAAATAGAGCCAAGTGCAGTACGATAGGGTTGTTATGTACATATTTTCAAATACTAGGGGGACTGGTATGTACTATTAAAAATTTTTGGGTGGTTTTTGATAATGAAGACAGTGGGTGTGAAAACATTGTGTGTTTAACAAATTCCACAGCCCCAGCCATAGCCTAAGCCCCAGCAAATTTCTAGCCCAGCTTAAGCCTTCTGCTTGAACTTGTTTGGCTTTACTTGGCTATAGGCTTACTCAAGCACATACATATAATATTATTATACATAAAATAATATAGACACCAGAATATACTTTTATCAGCAAATACCTAATTTGAAACATACGTATTACGTAATAGTAGACAATGTAATCCAGACAAGAGATCATCTTGTTTGGATGAAAGAAATTTATAATGCCTAATTAAAAATCGCCCTTTACAGTTTACAGTTTATTAACCTTTTCTATCAAAGTAAAATACAACTTATGAGTTGATCAGAATATATTGTATTCACTAGAACTGATGTAGGTTCTCATACCGGATTGCCATGTGTTAGGATCTTGCGTCTCCATCCAATTATGTCCAATTGTCTTTCTAAATTCGTCTGTCCATCGTAGTCTCGGTCTACCAACGGGTCTCTTGCCTGGGGGGGGGGATCCACATTATGATCTTCTTTATCCATCTTTCATCTTGTGCTGTCAACATCTTCCAAGCACAGTTCCACTTCTTCTCAGTCGCTACGAGACTGGCGCTCTTGAGTCCCGTCCTTCTTCTGATCTCAGCACTTCTTCTTTTATCTCTCCATGTTATTCCCAACATCATTCTTTCCATCTTTCTGACCGTTCTAATCAACTTCCATCTGGCTTTCACTGTGAGACTCCAGCACTCGGCTCCATAAGTTATTGTAGGTAACAGGCAAGTCATGTAGAACTTCCGCTTGAGTCGTAGTCTGGTCCTTGGACTGGTTAGTACTTCTCTCCATCTTTGGAAAGTTGACCATGCCATTCTTGCTCGTGCTCCCACTTCGGATTCTGGATTCCTGAGGTATATAAAGGCAGCCACCCTTTCGATAGACTCACCTCCAAGACCTAGAGATTGGTCTCGGTCTATTCCTGTACTGCCCATCCATTTCGTCTTCTTTTTATTCAATTCTAGTTCCATTTCCCTCAGTTTCTTCTCCACTTTCTCCAGATTTGTTTCAGCCTCGGCTACATCATTTGCCATCAGTATCAGGTCGTCGGCGTATAATAGGTGAGTTAACCTCCTTTTTCCATCCTCCAGTTCGATACCTCCAGACCATGCTATCTGGTTTAGAGCCATCTGCATCACTAAGTTAAAAATGGTGGGTGACATAACGTCTCCTTGACGTACTCCACGGTAAACTTCGTACTCAGCCTTCTCTTTTCCTATTTGTACATAGGACTTTGCGTTTTGGTACAGTATCCTAATCATTTTTATTGTTTTGTGATCAGCTCCAGCCTCTTCAAGCGCTTTCCAGATATCTTCGTGCTCTACAGTGTCAAAGGCTTTTGTGCAGTCGATGAAACCTACTAGCATCGGTCTTCTCCATTCGTCTGCCTTCTCTATCAGCAGGTTTAGGCTTGCTAAGTGATCAACGGTTGACCAACCCTTCCTGAATGCAGCTTGTTCTGTGCTGATGAAGCTACCCGCCTTAAAAAACACAACTGCCTTTAAAAATTACCCTACCCTGCGAAATTCTCCTTTCATTAAAAATTATCCTGCCCTAAAAACCCGCCCTAATCTTAAAAATTCACTTTCCTCAAGAAACTGCCCCTCACAACATAAAAATCCCCCTCCCTTAAAAAATTTCCCTGCCTTTGAAAAACACCCTGTCCTTAAAGATCCCCTTACACTTTAAAGTTCTTATCATTCTCATTTATACCTTTTAACCTACCGTATCCCTATATCTACTCTATATACAAAACCATAAACCACAAAAAAATTTTCGATCCTACAAATCAAAATTTCCGCCTGGAGCAACAAGCTGTTAAGTTGAAATATCGAGGGATTATTTCTTAAAGATACGTTGGGAATAACATGTAAATAACATGAGAGTTCGCTTTCCCTAGACGTTTGTTATTTTTTTTAAAGAGAGAACATTCTTCCTGTTTTTACTCCAACGTTCTGTGCTAACGTTTTTTGCTGCTGCGAGTGCGAATTAAACCATTTATGTGCGGATTTGTTGCAACGAAATAGGTTTAACACGTCAATAAAAATTTTTGAAATAATATTTAAATTAAAAATTTCGAAAATTTTTGTTCAATTGAACCCTACCTTGCCCTACCCTACCCTACCCTACCCTGCCCTACCCTACCCTACCCTACCCTACACTACCCTACCCTACCCTACCCTACCCTACCATACCCTGCCCTACCCTACCCTACCCTACCCTACCCTACCCTACCCTACCCTGCCCTACCCTATATTTGAACTTTTTTGCCCTTTTTCAGATATTATAGTATACCCATACCACTCCCTCATCCCTACTTCTAACTAACTCCAGGCTAATACCAATCATCATTGCTTCTTTACATGCCCTAGCATGCCCTATCCTACCAGTGTTACATTGTAAAACCGTCCTTCTTACCTTTTTTTTACCTATCCTACTCGTTCTACCTTAGCATCCCCCGTCTTTTTTGCCCTAACTAGGGCTGCCGTTCTTGTCTTAACCTTCAGTAAAATTTTGAACGCAATATTTTTTCTTATCACTAAAAAAATTCGAAAAACATAAAATTTGAACTAATAACTTGAAAAATAAACAGAATTTAAATTGACGGAGAAGAAATGACTTTACTGGACTGTGGAAAACAAATTTCGCCAGTAATTACTAATTTTGTCACAAGATTTGGGGCTGGAAAAAATTTATATTTTCAAAATTTTGAAATTTTAAAAATTTAAAAATTTGAAAAAATTTTTTGAATATCTTAAAATGGCAAGAACTTTACAAAATATAACATAGCGAGAACTTTTTTAACAAAGCAAAAAATGGCAAGAACTTTCTTTACAAAACATAAAATGGCAAGAACTTTCTTTACAAAGCAAAAAATGGCAAGAAGTTTCTTTCCAAAGCAAAAAATGGCAAGAACTTTCTTTACAAAAGCTATCGCAAAAATAAAAAAAAATGGACGTCATTAAAAAAATGACATCACTTCCTTAGACTTACCCTACCCTTTATCTCCCCTTTTCTATCCCTTCCTTTCTCTCCTCCCACAAACCCACAAATTAAACCCTCCGGTCTTATTCAGTAGTAAATTGAGAATATAGAATGTGCGACCCTAAATCAAACAAAAACCTCAAAAAACAAAAGCAAGACGAGAAGCCGGCTGGCTATAGATCAGCACAAAATGTTTAAGAGTATGCAAAGTAAACCTAAGGGTTTTTTAGGAAAAAACTTTCTTTACAAAACAAAAAATGGCAAGAACTTTCTTTACAGAGCAAGAAATGGCAAAAACTTTCTTTACAGAGCAAGAAATAGCAAGAACTTTCTTTACAAAATAAAAACTGGCAAGAACTTTCTTTACATATCAAAAAATAGCAAGAACTTTCTATACAAAACAAAAAATGGCGAAAACTTACTTTACAAAACAAAAAATGGCAAGAACTTTCTTTACAAAGCAAACAATAGCAAGAACTTTCTTTACAAAACAAAAAATGGCAAAAACTTTCTTTACAAACAAAATCTAAACTAAAAAACAAATTTTATGCTATTAGTCTTTGTTTTTCAAAACCGAAAACAGTTGGTTTATAAAACAATCAAAAAATGTCAAAAATGTGTCACTAACAACTTTTTTATTGTTTTCTCAGACAAAACAAAAAAAGAAAAACATAATTAGAAGGCATGTTATTTAATTATAACATAATGTTGAGAACGTTAGAAGAAATTAGAGGAACATAATGTTTGAATTTGAAATTATAATGTACTAACCCAGAGCCCTAGCCCTGAGCCCTAGCCCAGAGCCCTTGCCTAGAGCCCTAACCCAGAGCCCTAGCCCGAGAGCCCTAGCCCAGTACCCTAGCCCAGAGTCTTAGCCCAGAGCCGTAGCCCAGAACCCTAGCCCAGAGCTCTAGCCCAAGCTCACGTTAACTTACTTTAGCCTACAGTAACCTAAAATAAGCGTTACCGTAGCTTATTCTAGCCTAACCACATCTACATTAGCTCTGTTTTACCCTTACTAGGCCTGGCATTTTTGCCAGGCTAAACCGATTTTTCAGCCTGGCTCGTTTCAAATTTTTCTCGGCTTGACAGGCTTCAATTTTGCTCTAGTCTGGCTTGGCCTAAACACAAGTTAGCCGCCAGGTATGACTCTTATCCTCAACCTTTTTTCTCGATCCACTCTTTCACCCCCCCCGCCTTATTCAAGCTCTATTTTTGTATCTGTCGCAACTTTCATAGTCTCTCTGTCTTGCCCTACCCAGTCCTAGTGTCCTTGTTTAACCCTACTTTTCTCACCGTACTTCACCTTACCTCAATCTCTACCTTACCCTACCTTCCTTTACCCTTCATACTCATTACCCCACCTCAACTATCCCCAAACTCTTTAAAACTTTTAAAAAACCGTCATTTTGAAAAGCTGATTTGCTATTCCAACTACTCGTTGGAACGGAAAAAGAAAGTCAAAACTATTCAAAAGCTTTATAAAACTTTAATGACTTGAAGGAAAAAGTCTTTAACTTAATTTAGTGCCAAAAACCAGCCCTCCCCGAAACTCCCGGAGACAAAAGACAAAAAAGGGCTGGAAAGTTTTTTTTGAGGACGTTCACAAAGGTTCAACGGAAACGAAAAAGTAAAAAAAGTAGATAAACTTGTAGTAAAAAAAACTACGTCTCCAAAGAATTTGGTGCAAAATAATGTTGTACTTGTTTAGTACGTTTTACAGAGTAAAGAAGCAACAAGGTAGAGCATTTTAAAGTAAAATATAAGGTAAGGAAGCGACAAGACAAGGTAAAAAAACTAAAGGGTAGGTTAAAATAAAGTACGCTAGGGTAAGGTAAACTAGGACAGTGTAAAGTAAGAAAGCTACAGAGCAAGCTAAAGAACCTACAATTCAATATAAGTAAGATAAAGAACAGTAAAGACGTTACAAGGTAAAGCTATTTAAAATAAAATACGGTAGGCTAAGGTAAATTAGGGTAGGGTCGGGTGGGGCATACAATAAAACTAAGCTACGGCTGGACCAGCGAGGCTGCAGCTATTTTGGCACTATTAAACCCCTTAGCCTAACATGTCTTTAACTTAACCTTATCTTTGCGTTACTATGACCATGCCCTGCACTAAATCTATTAGGTCGAACCAAAAGTAGCGAGGCACTTTTCATATACTTTTCAAATAAAAAGTGTCCCGCTACTTTTGGTTCAACCTAATAAATCATATACGCCTATAGTAAACCTAAAGTATGGCCAGGCGTAAGCGCACGCCACGTCATGTAAAAAACAAGTAAGTAAACAAAGGTAAAGCTGAATAGGATCAAACTCTATGAACTTTTGCTGTTGTAATGTCGGAGAAATTTAATCTGTTTAATTCGACAAAACCTTGAATTTGTTTAGGATTGTTGGTCAAACGGTGTTCCATTTGTTGTACCTACTGTAACGTGGATATTTAGAATACAATACCCTACCCTACCTTACTCTACCCTATTTTTCCTACTCTTACTTGACATTATCCTACCCTACTGCATTCTGTTTTACCCTACCGTACTCTATCTCACCTTATTCTACCCCATCTTTCCTTGTTTTGCTTTATCCTACCGTATCTTAAAATACCGTAATCCAAACCGAGCCGAACCTATCCTGCCTCAGTTTTATTTCAAAAAAATACTACCGTACACCACCCTACGGTACCTCACCCTACTGTACCCTCACTCTATCATACCTCACCCTACCTTACCCTATCCTGCTTTATCCCACCCTATCATACCGTAATCTAAACCAAGCCTAAGCTGCCCTATCTCATTTTTATTTCAAAAAAATAGTATATAACAAATTAATAGCTGAACCACGTGACATAACCCTTCAATTTTGACTGATTTACAATATATATGCCTCGGGACATACCTGTCTGCAGCGTGCTTTTAATTTCATAAAAACAAAATATTTGGCAAAAACAAACGACTGACAAATTACATGTCAACCGTGGCATTGACAAGGTCAACAATATTGACAATTTGTACCATAATATTAGTCATGACTAACATTTTTTAAGTATAAACGTGACTTTACTGACAACCTATGATATGATGACATTAATCATGGTTGATTAGCTGATCGTCTTTTTACTATATAGTAAATTAATTAGAATCCTTCTTCTTGGACAACAATCTTTCATAAACTGTCAATGGCAAGAAGTGTTTGTGGTCGGTCGATAGCGTTTCATTGATTTTTGGCACTCCATCACAAAGATTTTCACTCACAATTTCAATCGAACTTAAATCACTGTCAGGTTCATATGCTTCTGGATTTAAATCAAACTTTGAAGCTGTTGGGTCGGATGTGCAGCTGAAAGAATTGGCAATGAGATTTTGTTCATCAGGCCGTCACAATCTACCCTACCCTACCCTACCCTACCCTACCCTACCTTACCCTACCCTACCCTATCCTATTCTACTCCAGTCTACCCTAACCTATCTTATCTTACCGTAGCCTAGCCGAATCTACTCTACCTCGCTCTACGCTTCTCTAACTTATGTCACCCTACCCTTACCTAACCCTACTTTTCGCCACTTTTACTACCCAGTTTTACTCCATCCTATCCTACGTCATCCTAACCTTGTTTTTGAATATGCCTTGCCCTTGCCATGCTCATCTCTTACGTTTACCCTAACTTTCTTTTGCCATAGCCTTGTGTACTCTAACCTTATATATTCTACCTTTGCCCTATTCTTTCCTTGTTGTATCTTTGACTTATCTTTGTCCACTTTTTTCCTATCTTACCTTGATTTACCCTGCATTATAATATCCTTACCGAATAGGTCCTTCCTGTTCCAAGCTGAGCTGTTGGAAAGCATAAAGCATAGCATAACCAAGATCTGCAATCGTTCTGTCACAATGCTTTCGAACGAAACAGGCAAATGGGCCAAGGAATTGTTCGTTGTCTCTAAAAATAACATTTTCTATTAAAAAATGACATTTTTAAGCTATTTTTTGACTTTAAAAATAAAAAAATTAAAATTTATTACCTAAAATAAAAAAAATTTTTAAAATTTGAAATTTAAAAATAAAAAAATGACTCACCGACAAACCTGCTCAATGGACAAACACTTGTGCTTGTTTCGACCGGTCGAAAATTGGTTATGTTTGTGCATGACTCGAACATACTCCCACGGTACACTCTCATGCACTTTTATAGCACATTCCTCAAAATTGGCTATGTTAACATCTTTCACAGTGCCTTGGCTGATCATCTTGAATATTTTTTGAAGCAAAATCTCAGGTTTTGTCGCGTTTTGACACTTTTCTTTCTCCATCTGGCCTTTTAGGCATACATTTAGGCGATCTAAGCTAAAATTTGTATTATTGTTATAGCTAAAAAAGTTTTGTCGTTTTTTAACTTAAAAGACTTTGAGAAAAGGCGACAAAACTTTTTTCTGGCCATGCCACTTTTAAAAAACATAATTTTGAATGTTGTAAAGAAAGTTCTTGTCATTTTTTGTATTGTAAAGAAAGTTCTTGCTATTTTTTGTTTTATAAAAAAGTTTTTGCCGTTTTAAACTTTGATAAAGAAAGTTCTTGCAATTTCTCAATGTGTAAACAAAGTTTTTACCGTTGTAACTTACGCCTCAGGCTTATTAATAGTCCTATTCTTGCCACCACATGCTATTGGCTCAAATGTGTGATCCTGACCAAGTACAAGCGAAACAAACAATAATATAGTGATAAGAAGGACTTTTAACAATATCATAGTAGTTTTCAAGGTAAATATGAAATAAAATGTTTTTTCGAGCGCAATAATTTCGTTATTGTTAAACTTAACGAAAACTTTAAACTCTTCTTCCGCAATCACACAAGTTTAGTGATTAGAATTATGGTTTTTTACATGCGTACATAATTCATCGTATAACTTAGCCGATCGCAGCTTGCGCTTTTTGTTTCGCAGCCGTTGGCTCTCTGAACTTACTTTTGCTTTGTGAAGTTGCTTTGATAAGCGTTTAATCTCGTTTTCTTTGAAATCTGGGTTTAAACTTTGACAAATTTGATGGAAATTGTGATAACAAACATTTTCTGGGGTATCATTTTGTGGACTTGTTGATTTTTTGGAATTTTTATGCGTTTTTCTTGGTTAAAATCATGTTCATCATGTTACATTGCGCGAAGTAAATCTTTTGAATACGTATAATATTTTCTTTATTATTTAATATTTTGTTTTCTAATTTACAGAAACCACAAATCGCCTGAAACACGGAAAATTAGGAGTTATGGCTAAAAGAACACCTTCACCATGCTGCATTCTCGGATATCTGAAGGAAATTTTACAGAAAGGGCTAGATATTATGCCAAGTACGATAAAATTCGATTGATTAGAAGCAGAACAAGTTGATATACATGTAAGTATGGTTTTCGCTTTGTTTCTTTGGTTTTTAGGTTAATTTTGAGGATTTTCGTCTGATTTGAATATCTGAATCATGGATAAGATACTTTTGATCAAAGTTGTGCTTTTTAATTAAGGAATATTGATAAGTTTTAGAAATTTTTTGTACAGAACTTTGATTGACGTTTTTAGCTAGAAATGAAGATCAGGAGAGCGCTTTTAAGTTCAAGATTAACACTTGAAATCAAGGTGGTACGGCTGCATGGATAACATTGACAAGTAGATGAAATGGCTTATGTGAGTTATTTTTTGAAATAGGTATTAACATTATGCAGGTTTTTCTGGCTTTTTGTTTTATTTGTTTATGATAATTTTTGAAAATTTAAGATTTGTCATGGATAATATAAACGTTTGTCGAAATGAACTTCAAATAGACATTTTTGAATAAAAAAAACTTTGTTGCCACATTTTTTTTTACATTGTTTAAATTGCCTAATCGGTCGATTTTGAATTTTTTGTTTCAAAATTTGTTGAATGATGGTTTTGAAGGATGAAGCGTTGATGAGTTTCGTAGCTTACTATTACAATTTTCATTCAAAAGCGGACATTTTTCAGGACAAGGAAAATTGTGGCAATGTTGGTCGATTACTTGTGAGTTTTTGAAGTAATTTTTTAAAATTTTTTGATTTTTAGGGTAGGGTGAGGGTAAATTAAGGCGAAGTTTGATATGAGTAGGGTATGGTAAAGTTATGGTTTAGTAGAATGAGTTTATGGTAGGGTTTGGAGAATTTAAGGTAAGGTAGAGTTGAGTTATGGTAAAAGTAAGCTAAAACTGATAAGGTAGGGTAAAGTTATATTTAGGGCGTGGTAATATGACATTGTGATAAGGGTTTAGTTATAGTATTTAAGTTAATTGTAGAGCTTTGGTAGGGTAATATAAACCAAAGTAAAGTAGATAATACGCTAAACCTATTTAAAAATGTCATTTTACAGCGTGTAAACTCATTTTATCGTGAGGTTCTTCTGAATTCCGTTACATTTTGTGCCTTGAAAGTTGGTACGACTAATTTTGTGAAGCTGACCATCAAGCTAGGACCATTTGCCAAATTACAGACGATTGAAATTGTCATTAAATTTCCATTCGAACTGTTATGGTTTGGTCACGTTGTACGTGGAATTCAATGTTCTGAAATCAAAGGCTTCAATGATTATTCTGAAATTGGGCTTGAGGTTAAAGGTAAGGCCATTTTAAGTTGATTTTGTACTGTTTAGCTTATTTTTTTGTTATTTGAAGGATTTTTGGATATTATTATGAAGTTTTTTGAAATCTTCATTGACTTCGATACATATATTTCAAATCTTCAGTCTTCAATACAGGTAACGCCATTTAAAACATATTATTCTAGCTCAAGACTCAAAAGACATCAAAGACCTAAAAGAATCAGCCAAAGTCATTGGTCAAATCTTGTCATTGGTGACATTTATGGACTACTTGGTAGCACCTCAATATCTGGCCGAAAAAGTTCCGGAATCAGCTGAAATTACTATTACCAAAGTGTTCTCGATTCAGAAGCCGATTAATATCGTGTTTGATACAAAGATTCTAGAAATCAACTTGAATTCAACTAAGAGTGCTCAAAGAGTGTTCAGAAATGCAGTGTAAGTTGAATATGGCATCTTGGGTGGAGCAGGGTTGGATTTTAGTAGTGGTGTGGTAAGAGTATGGTAGGGTAAGATGGGGTAGGTTAGGGAAAGTTAGAACAGGGTAGGGTATTGCAAAGTAGAGTAAGGTGAAGTAGGGTAAGGTAGGGTAAAGTAATATAATGTAGGGTAGAGTAGAGTAGGGTAGGAAAGGTAGAGTAAGTTAGAGTAGTGATATGATAAGATTATGTTAGCTTGTTGTAAAACTGAGGGGTAGTTCGGATGGGATATGGCAGGGCAAGATAAGTTAGGGAAGGATAAGTTTACAACAGGAGAGCTCATGGTAGAGTTGAATTTAGAAAGGGCTGTAAAAAACCTGAGGCAACGTTTTGCTTTTTCAGGATCCCGAAGAACAACTCGGTTTGTATGGCCATGATTACGGTATCAAATATTTTCGATTTTGAATTGACAGTGTTAAGACATGTGAATCAATTGGCCGAAGCTTATGTTGATGCCAACAAGATCTTCCTCAACTATTGTGGACCGAAAAACGTCGGTTTTTTTTAATTTTAAAAGTATTTTTGAAATTTTAAAGGTTGTTTTTAAATTTTATCTTTAAAAATGACACTTTATATGTGATTTTCGGCTTGTTTTAGTTGTTTTAGGCTTAAAAACAGGGTTTTAAATACAGGTTTTTTAATATTTTTTTAGATTTTTAATGAACGATTTGACAAGCTATTGGCCAAAGTCTGCAGCTATCAAGTTCACTACAACAAGACCAAGTTTGGACTGGTTTGCGATTGGAAGTTGGGCAAGGAGAATTGAATCTTCATAATATGGACTTATTTGTAATTGTAATCTAATTTGGATACGATAAAGAATTATTTTAATTTGGTTTTTGTTTCAAGCGATTGTGGTTACTGTATAAGAATTTGGATTACTGTACAGCTGACATATAGTAATATAATATATAAAAGAAATAGTAATTCGGCCGTACGTTAGTTGAAAATATAAGTTGAAGTAAAAATGTATGTTCAAAGTAAAGATGCATAGACATATGTATAATGATGAATAACATAGAATTTACATATTAATTCGCTCGTACATAAGTTGAAAAAATCTTTAAAAATAAAGAATTAAACCCTATGTTACTTTGGACGTATAATATATAACATATAATAAGACAATTCGCTTGTACATAAGTTCAATATACAAGTAATAAAAAAAACTTTAAACTTATATATACTAAAATAGAATTAGACAATTCGCTCGTACATAAATTGAAAAACTATAAGTAAAAGAGTAAACCCTACGTAGACATATATAACATAAAATCAGGCAATTCGCTCGTACACAAGTTGAAGAACCATATAAAAGTAAAAAAATCAAATTATATGTATATATTACCATATATATCATATAATTCGACAATTCGCTGGTACATAAGTTGAACAACCATGTAAAAGCAAAAAATCAAACTATATGTATATATAACCATATATCATATTCGCTCGTACACAAGTTCGAAAACCAGGTAAAAGAAAAAATCTATATATGTCAAAAACAGCCGTATATCTCAACGACCGTTACACCCCGACAATCAACCACACAACACAATCGTATGGATTCGACAACAAGTCAGTAATGAAACCAAAATGCAAAGGAATTAAAATACTAATCGAGCACTCTCACAGTACTCATACGGTTGCCCAGGCCGTATATATAGCACTCCCACAGCAGTAAAATGCATCCGCATTATAAAACCGCGTACTCCGCTATATAAGTGCCATACACGGCAAGGGATTTGTAAAATCCGCTTTTACACCGCTTTATAAAAGCTCGAACAAACGTCGTAACTGTATCGACAAACAATGGTTTATAATTGCGAGGCATGCCTCGTTATCGTATCTGCACTACCTTTACGGTACTTGCGCCATTGCGCTCGATAAAACTATCGTAATCGACGGACAAATCTAATATAACTCGATTTTCGCGTCTTCTTCTTTCACGAAATGCGTAAAATCGGGATCCCGCTATAGAGATCTAAAACATATTATTTTTCTATGGTTTTATTTTAGTCACCTCCCGCCAAGTTGCGCAATGTTAACATTGATTTTTGAATTTTTGTGCGGAAAATCAAAAGCCAAAGTGACGCTAAAGCATGCCATTTGATATTTTTGAGGGTTGAGAGGTGGCGGTTTTTATTTTTGATGATATTTTTGTGAGATATACGGCTTGGGCAATCGTACTCACAGTACTATATAGTACAAGCGGTAGTGACAGGAGTGACAGTACGAATACAGAACGAAAGTCAGAATTTAAATGAGATATACGGCTTGGGCAACCGTTATATACTCAACGTGCTATGTAGTACGATACGGTAGTGACAGTACGAATACAGAACGAAAGTCAGAATTTTTAAATGGGATATACGGCTTGGAAAACCGTTATATACTTAACGTGCTATATAGTACGATAAGGTAGTGACAGTATAAAAGGTGTTGGTACAGAACGAAAGTCAGAATATATGTCAGAAGTACTCTCAAAATTACATTCTTTATGAGATATACGGCTTGGCAAACCGCTATATACTCAGCGTGCTATATATAATAGTACGATACGGTAGCAACAGTATACAAAGTGTTAATACAGAACGAAAGTCAGAAAATATGTCATAAATACTCTCAAAATGACATTTTTAATGAGATATACGACTTGGAAAACCGTTATATACTCTACGTGCTATATAGTACGATAAGGTAGTGACAGTATAAAAGGTGTTGGTACAGAACGAAAGTCAGAATATATGTCAGAAATACTCTCAAAATGACATTTTTAATGAGATATACGGCTTGGAAAACCGTTATATACTCAGCGTGCTATACAGTGCGTTAAAGTAGTGACAGACATTATTAAAGTGATACACGGCTTGGGCAACCGTGTGTACTATTTAGTACGTTGCATGCGGTCATAGTATTGTAAACGGCTTGGGAAACCTTTAATACTATTTAGTACAACAAGGTTGTGACAGACTTGTAAACGGTTTGGCATACCGTTAGTACTATATAGTAAATATAACAGTACAAGTCCAAACCAAGGGTCACTATATAGGTCAACAGTACTTTTAAATCTTATTTTTATGTGCTATACCGCTTGGGAAGCCTTTATAATTTTAAGTACTATACAGCACGTCAATTTTTTTGAAATTTTTGTTAAATTTTTAAATTAGTACAATTTGTGGTAAGAATGTACACATTTTTGCAACCAAAATTGGTATTTCGGTCGAAATTCGGGCGAATTCGCATTTTAACTTTTTTCGTCTCGAATCAAGGTCGAACGTCTTAAGCGATGCCGGCGGTTGAAGGGAATGTTTTGGGTCCTTCAACGGTCCGAAAACGATCCGACGACATTCCACTTGTCTTTTTTTGGGGAGAAAGTCACTTACCTTGGGCGCACAAATTGGTAGCCGACTAATTTTTAATTTTATGCGTCGAGAGTTTTTGAATTTACGTAAAAATTACATAAAAAAGGAAATTTTAGAGGTGGTTTTGTAAAATACGCTGTGGCGTGCGATGTATAGTAAGAAATGATAGAGAGAAGGTATTGTAGGGTAGGGTAGAGTGAAGATGTTGGGGGCAGAGTAGAATGAAAGCATGTAAAGTAAGGTGAAGTAAAGGTAGTAAGTGTAGGGCAGAGTACAGTAAAAGTGTTAAGAGTAGGGCAAAGTACAGTATAGGTACTAAGGGTAAGATAGAGCAAAGTTATATTAGGGTAGGTTAGAACGGCATAAGCGGTACTAAGGGCAAGGTAGCGTGAAGGTATTTTAATGTAGGGTGTGGTGGAGGCATTAAGGTTAAGGTAGAATGTCATAAGCAACAGCAGGGCAGGATGGATTTGAAAAATTGTACCTAGGTAAGGTAAAGCTGTTGAGCAGGGCGGAACATGCTTTTTGGGGTAAAGCGTAAAAGTTGGACTTCTTTGTTTTGTAAAGAAAGTTCCTGCCATTTTATGTATTGTAGAGACTGTTCTTACCATTTTTATGCTTTGTAAAGAAAGTTCTTGCCATTTTTTTGTTTTGTAAATAAAGTTTTTGCCATTTGTGTTCTGTAAAGAAAGTTCTTGCCATTCTTTGTTCTGTAAAGAAAGTCTTTGTCAAAAAAGAACGTCAGAATAGAGAAGAAAATAAATATTGTTATTAAAAACATCCTTTTCCTTCAAAAAATACGCAAAACTTTTGCATTACCTAAAAATCAAGGTTATGTTTTTCGATTTTCGCTAAGCAAGCCAAAAACGCAAGCGGCAAGTTCTTTTTTTACGAATAAAAAGAAATCTCATAAACATGTTTTGAAGCGTAAAATTTCGAAGCGCAATCACAGCATGATACTTTGAAGTTTTTTTGCGGTTTTCGAAAAAATTAAGTTATCTGGATCAGGGTTGTATAGTGAGCATGTGGGGTGACAGGCTCGGGCTTGCAGGTTTTGAAAGTTTATAAAAAGCAGAGCCCTATTCTTGAATAGCCTTGCCTTACACTTACCATAACCTTGCCTTAGCCTTAGTCTTGCCGTGGCCTTGCCGTAGCCTTGCCTTAGCCTTGCCTTAGCCTTGCCTTAGCCTTGCCTTAGCCTTGCCTTAGCCTTGCCTTAGCCTTGCCTTAGCCTTGCCTTAGCCTTGCCTTAGCCTTGCCTTAGCCTTGCCTTAGCCTTGCCTTAGCCTTGCCTTAGCCTTGCCTTAGCCTTGCCTTAGCCTTGCCTTAGCCTTGCCTTAGCCTTGCCTTAGCCTTGCCTTAGCCTTGCCTTAGCCTTGCCTTAGCCTTGCCTTAGCCTTGCCTTAGCCTTGCCTTAGCCTTGCCTTAGCCTTGCCTTAGCCTTGCCTTAGCCTTGTCTTAGCCTTGCCTTAGCCTTGCCTTAGGCTTGCTTTAGCCCAGCCTAAATGTTTTGAAGCGTAAAATTTCGAAGCGCAATCACAGCATGATACTTTGAAGTTTTTTTTGCGGTTTTCGAAAAAATTAAGTTATCTGGATCAGGGTTGTATAGTGAGCATGTGGGGTGACAGGCTCGGGCTTGCAGGTTTTGAAAGTTTATAAAAAGCAGAGCCCTATTCTTGAATAGCCTTGCCTTACACTTACCATAACCTTGCCTTAGCCTTAGTCTTGCCGTGGCCTTGCCGTAGCCTTGCCTTAGCCTTGCCTTAGCCTTGCCTTAGCCTTGCCTTAGCCTTGCCTTAGCCTTGCCTTAGCCTTGCCTTAGCCTTGCCTTAGCCTTGCCTTTCCTTTGCCTTGCCCTAGTCTTTCCCTAGCTTTGGCCTAGCCTTGCCTTGCCTTAGTCTTGCCTTAGCCTTGCTCTAGCCTAAGCCCAGCCTAAGCCCAGCCTTAGTCTTGCCTTGCCCTAGGCTTGCGCTAGCCTAAGTTCAGCCTAAGCCCAGCCTAAGCCCAGCCTTAGTCTTGCCTTAGCCTTGTCTTAACCTTAGCCTTGATTTTTCTACTGTACTTTCCCTCTCGATGACACAACCCGATCAATCGGCCGTGCTTGTTCGGTCATACCCATTACCCTGAACCTCGCCCCAACCGCATAAGCGTGTCTAATTAAACGCATCCGGCGTCGAATTGACAGTTTTCTCCCTTTTTTCCGACCGTCCGAATCCACAGAATCTCGCACCTAATTAGAGAGCCGACTTTTCTTGGATTTACCTGAGGATCCCCCCAAGGTTTTTTCAACTTTTCAAAATTGTTTTAAGGATGAAAGGCTTTGTTATTTTTGGATAAAAGTTTTTGAAATTTTTTTTTGAAATTGGACATTTTTTGAATAAGGGTAGGGCACTTTTATGTG